GTGATAATGTCCTTAGGCTACTGCTGTGGCAGAACAGTTTGAAACTGATATACATGTTTTTTACAGATATACTCTGAGATAGCTGATTCTAAACACTGTTGTTTACCTACAGCATCAGTCAAAGGATGAGGAGAACAGTGTAAAGAGAATCATTTTAACTTAGGTCAGTCATTGTAACTTGGCTTATTATTGGAAAATCAAGCATTCTCTCTCACCTCCCTGTTTCATAGCTGTTAGGAATTTGTGGTTTTCAGGACCCTCTGCATGCCTACACTCATCCTGAGTTCTTTAGCTCCAGTTTCTTTATTTGCTTACCTGTCTGTTGCAAGGCATGGTCATAAATATTTTGTCTATCAACTAGGCCATTGGACCTGAGAAACTAGGGTCTGTGGTCATGTAAAAACTCCATTCTCTACCTGTTCATCTTTTTCTTTGTTCCCTCAATTTCAAGATGGTGAATTAAAAGGTTAAACTTGCTGAAGCTCTCTTTGTTTTACTTAATCTTTTAATAGTTACTTAGAATGTAGGCATTCCAAATTTATGTAGATCCTAAGAGCAATTAGAAAAAGTTTGTAACTTGATATGGCTCGTTTGTTTGTTTTAATTTAAACTAGCCTCAGGAGGTACAGAAGATTGAGGCACTCTGCTGAGGGAAGGGATGCTATTTTCTAACAAATCCAGTCTTCATATTTTTCCCTAAAGGGGCTGACACCCTGGGATATACTTTGATTTCACACACTTAAATTGTAAATAGTGACAGAGAAGAAGACCCAATAGAAACAATTGGCATTTTCCTTCTGGAGGCAAGGAACAAAATGATGCTCCCTACCCATTACTCATAGAAACCAACTAAATGGGTAGTGGAAAATTTCTTTCAATACTGGTTATGAATAGAGTACTACACCACACTTCAAGCAGGGCGTGATGTAGGAGATACATCAGGACAGGCCATGTGGCATTCATGGCTCTGCCCTCCAACCAAGGGGAATATCCTATTCTCCTGCCATTTGCTGCCTGAGGTAGTTACCTGCCTTTGCTTTATTGTAGGGCCATCCCTAATAATGCAGTGTAAATTTAAAATTATTAAATACAAGACTGGGACTTTCCCATTAATTATATACTCAAGGCATTAAATCATGTCTGATCATGGAAGCTAAGCAGGGTCAGTCCTGGTTAGTACTTGGATGGATGACTAGCAATGAATACTAGGTGCTGTAGGCCATATTTCAGAAGAAAGACTGGCAAAACCATGGAGATTATTATATAAGGATATAAACCAGCTTACCTGAAGGCCTTTGCAGACTGGTAGAAATAGTGCAAATTGAGTCCGCTTTAACTGCCCTGGATCAGTGCTAGGGAATCATGGGAATTGTATTATTATTATTTTTCTGAGACATTGAGCCTTCTCTGTCAGAGAGCTCTGGTGCCACAATAAATTACAGTTCCCATGATTCCCTAGCACTGAGTCAGGCCAGTTAAAGTGGACTAAATTTGCACTATTTCTGGCAGTCTGCAAAGGCTGAGTCAGCTTAAAATTAGAAGCAGGCAGCATCCTCATATTATCAGATGCATTTAGCCACCAAAATTGCCGCCCAGGTATAGCCCAGGTCCATCACCACTCAGAAGGGCACTCTGGTGACAATTTATTTCAAGCTGGAAAACTCCCAGCTTCGAAAAGAGGCATGTGGAGCACCCCTTTGAGTGGCAATAGACCCGGGCTGCACCCAGGCAGCGATTTCAGCAGCTAAATGCATCTGATAATATCAGGATGCCACCCACTTCTAATTTTAAGCTAGCTCAGGTAAGCTGGTTTATATCCTTATACAATAATCTTCCATCTTTGAGTATTTCTTCCCTAAGAAAACCCTATGAAAGTCATAGGGTCACCATAGGGCAACAGGCAACTTGAGAGCACAGACGCATGCACACATACTATCACACTGGTAATCACCAGCAATAAAAAAGTTGTTGTGTGGATAACCACAGGCGAGTTGTCAAATCCTCTTTTACCAAGAATCTATTCATGCTCTAAATACTTAAATCATCTTCCTTGTTAGCCAAGAGGAAGAACACATTCCATGGTGAGATTGCTGTTCCCTTGTCACCAGAGAAGACACTTCCTGTTAAGCTTGCATTTGCTGACACCAAAAGAAAAAAGGCTGTGTATGTATTTATACAGCAGATGTGTTGAGAGCAAAGTGAGAGCTGCTGGAATCTATTAGTTAAGCAAATATGTAAAGGCAGGCTTTAAAAGAGAGAAGAAATGCACAGCTGAGGAGATATAAGCAATCATATTGGAAGGAGGCCTTATCTAGTTTGGCACATTTAGCTTCCTTTGCTTCAAAGGAGGTCTGTTTTCCCACATTATCTTCCATAGCATGATGTATATTACAGGGCTTCTATCATCCCTTACTCAATATGACAGAAAACTCAACTTTATACAATTATATCACCCCCTAGTGGCTTTAGCCTAAAGGAAAGGGGATCCTTTAAATTCTGAAGCGAATGCTCCGTGGCATATGTGATGCTAAGGCAAAATCCTAGAAATATCTCATTCCCGATGGAATCAGAAAGAATGAAACATACAAATCGCACTACTTTCCATGGGACATAGAAACAGCTGATGTGCTAACAAATGTTTTGTATTGTATACAAGAAAAAAAGACAGAGAAGCATTATGTCAACTTAAAAGTCTGGCTGCAAAGAAATCAGAGGATATTCTTTTGAGCTAGGCAAGTAGGTGGGTTTTGGAGTCCTTCTTAGCATCATAGCCAAACATTTGCAGCTGTCCCATAGTATAGAAAGAGTTAATATTAGCAACTTTGATATGGTATTGCATTAGCTTAGCAGTTTGAGGGTGGGGAAAAGGTATGAAAGGTGGCAAGAATCTGCAAAAGTCAATGTCCCTCTGTTATTAATCTGCTTGCACAGTTCTCTTAACTAGAGATGGGAAGGCCTGGAAAAAATGGGGGGAAAATTGAGGGGAAAAAATGTTGTTTTTTTCCGGGGGAGTGAGGTCCTGAAGCCTTTTTTGTTTTTTTCCAAAGAAATTGGAAAAAGAAGAAAACCGAATAAGAAATGTTTTATTTTAGCATGATAAATAAAATCTTTAAGACAAGGTGTTC